GTACTCTTTGTAATGCTGGCTTGGCACTCATGAAGTTCTTCAATTGTTCTGTGTTGTGAAAATATTTTATTTCTCCATTGAATTTGCAGGATAGTTTGGCAGGTTACATCAGTCTTGGTTGGAGGCTGTTCTGTCTCAGGACCTGTAATACTTTACTCCAGGCTCTTCTCGATTGGATGGTTTGTGCTGAGAAGTCTGCTGTGATTCTGATGGGCTTTCCTTTATAGGTAATCTACTTCTTTTCTCTAGCAGCTTTTATTATTCTGTTCATTTGCTGGAGATCTGGGAACTTGACTATTATATGTCTGGGTGTAGTTTTATTTTGGTTGTGGTTCTTTGGATTTCTATATGCCTCATTTACCTGTATATCAGGTTCTGTTTCCATAATTGGGACATTTTCTTCTATTATTTCTGCAAATATTCTTTTTATGTCACTTGTGTTGCCTCCTGGTGTTTCATTGACTCCTATAAGTCATACATTATTCCTCTTTGCCTCATCTTGCAGCTGTTGAGTTGACTTTTCCTGGATCCTTGTTGATTTTATGAGATCTTTTCTTTCACAGTCACTAGCTGCCATGCTGTCTTCAAAGTCTGAGATTCTATCTTCAGCTTCATTCCAGCAGTTTTGGTAGCTTTCAGTGGCAGGTTTGTTTTCCTGGAAGTCTCTTTGAATCTGGTTCATGCGTTCTAAGTCCTTTCTATATTTTTCATTGAACACTTCTGTCCCTTGCCTTTGTTCCTCTATTTTCATATATGTTTCTTCTTCAGACTTTTTGAGCAGTTCCTTCATTATTATTGTCATTTCATTTTTTGCCTGAGATATTATTTCTGATTGCATCTCTTCTATGGCCTTATGGAATTGTTTCTTTACTTCCATTGCAATCATTTCAGCTATTTCAGGCATATGTTTACCAAGTTCTGCTATGTCGATGTCTCCTGGACTTGTTCTGTGTGACTTGGAGTTCTGGGATTGTGTTTTAGTCCTTCATTTTGTCATGTTTGCTACTGGATGCAGAAAGTTCAGTTTTCCTCTTCAGTAGCTGCATACCAAAGGTCACTAGTGTCCCTAGTTTTCCTGTTGGTCAGGTTTGCCGAGTGACCTCTGAGAAGCACTACTTAGTCTCGGGTTTTCCCACAGTTGTTGATTTGTATCTAGTTATCTCCATTCTTAGATGCTGGCATTGGTGTCAGCTGATGGCCAACCGTCTGATTCAGCATCCCCTTGCAGTTCAGGGCACATGCACAGCCCAGACTCGGGTTGCACTGGTGTGACAATCCCATTCCAGTGGACCTATGTCCCCAGGCAGTTCAGGGTACAGGCAAAACCCAGACACAAACTATAGGGTCTACAGTGTGTGAACCACCTGATTCTGTGTCTCCAGTCAATTCAGGACACCTACGGGAACCAGATGCGGGCCAGATGGGTAGCAGTCAAAGACTGCCCATGCCTTCGACCCCCTAGGGGGTGTAGGTGAAAGTGAAGCATGGACTCGAATGGTGGGACCAGCAGCTCTTGGAGCACTCACTCACTCGGCGCAGGGCACACATGTGCAGGGAGGGGGCTACACACCCCCCCCAGCCAGAGATGTCCCCAGGCTTCTGAGTGAGGACCTCGTCTGCCATGGGTGCAGGGAGGGCAGAGACTCAGTCTGTAATGGTGGCTGGGTCCTGAGTCGCCTGCTCTGCCCTCAGGAAGTAGATGGGAAATACCTGGCTCTCTCCCCATGAGTTTCAGCTGGGAACCATGGTGGTGTGAGGAAAGCATGGACTCGAACCGTGGGACCAGCAGGTCTTGGAGAACTAGCTCACTCAGTGCAGGGTGTGCACATGCAGGGAGCTCTTTTCTTTTTTTAAAGTTACTTTGCATTAGATATTACCAGTAAAGAAGAGATGATTTGAAGTATACAAGAGTATTTGCATAGGCTTTATGCAAGTATTGGTCCATTTTATCTAATGGACTTCAATATCATTGTACAGTATTTTGTTAACCATGGGGGTCCCTGGAACCAGTCCCCTACAGATGCCTAGGGATAATTCTATATCTCTTCAAGAAAAGGCTACTTGTCAAATAAGCTTTTATCAGTAGCTGTTCTTCATGCATTACTTCCACTGACTAAGCTCCTATGTATGGAAAGCCTTGCGCTAAATAGGGAGACACAAATGTAACATTTAGCTTTGGCAAGCTGGACAAAGGATCAGACAAGCAATCCCTAACTCCTGAAATTCAACATTACCCAGTCTTGGACCCATAATTCAATGATCAGAGATCAATATAGCACAACTCAGACTTAATCTACTAAGAAAGCACCTCCTCTGTGTAAGGCTTTAAAATAGATGCTAAAAATGTGGAAGGAAAATTAGGTACAGCCCTTATCCCTGATCTAATAAGGCAGACTGATAACAAAGTAGATTATTGTGGGAGGGGACATGCAAAGACGTAAGGTGTGTTATGACATATATCAACTCTGCATGATGAATGGAATTATTGCCCACTGCAAACATGTACTAACAAAAATAAAATTTAGGAAATTAATTAATGGTAGAATATACAGAGTTCTATAGGATCACAAATAAAAGGTTCAAGGGCGATTTCATGAGTTAAAACCAAATCATCTGGCCAGGCATGGTGGTGCACTCCTATAATCCCAGCACTTGGGAGGCTGAGGCAGAAAGATCTTTGTGAGTTTGAGAACAGCCTGAGCTACAAAGTGAGCTCAAGCCCAAACTGTATAGAGAGACCTTGTCTCAAAAAGACAAAAAAAAAAAAAAAAAATCCAAATAATCATAAAGCATTGGGGCTGGGGATTTAGCTCAGTGGCAAAGCGCCTGCCTGGCAAGTGCAAGGTCGTGCATTTGATTTCTGGTACCTGAAGAAAAACAAAACAAAACAAACAAAAAACAAGCATGGGAAAGACCAATAAATGAGAAAAGATAAGATGCAGAGTGTTATAAAATAGCATGAGTATGTGTCCAGAATTATTGAAATAATAATAAATATAATATATAATATAATTATTAATAATAAATGCAATATATAAATATTATAATAAAGTTATCACTAGTGCATGAGCACCTGAGAACTTTTGACTGTTTTGCTCACAATAACTCTAGCTCAAACCAGGCGTGGTGGTGCACACCTGTAATCCCAGCACTCTGGAGGCTGAAACAGAAGGATCATTGTGAGTTCAAGACCAGCCTGGGCTACAAAATATGCTCAAGGCCCACCTGAACTGCTTAATGAGACCCTATCTCAAAAAGACAAAAAAAAAAAAAAAAAAAAACCTCCAGCTCAAAATAGTTACTCATTAAATACAGGTTTTTCTTTTAAAGTACAGGTTGAGCATCCCTAACAGAAAAATCCAAAACCTGACATGCTCCAAAATCTGAAAGTTTTGAGTGTCAGCATGGTGGTACAAATCTAATGGTTCAATACACATACACTTTGTTTTATTTATGAAATTACTAAACAAAATTACCTTAAGGCTATGTATATAAGATGTATATGAAACATAAATAAATTTCATGTATAGACTTGGGTCATACTGCCAAGACACTCATTATGAGTATGCAAATATTTCAAAATCTGAAACATTTTCCCTTACAGGAAGAGGCAAGACTGCTTTATCTTATTTCAGATAAAGGACACTTGTCCTGTATTTATTAAACAACCAAATGAAGGCAACGCTACAGCGACAAGAATGTTCCCAGCAGCACTGTTTGTCCTTGTCAAAATGGCTAAATTGTACTATGTCCATGTAATGGAGTACCAAAAAATAAATGCATTGCTGCTACACAGATAAATTTATGAGTATAATGCTAAGGGAAAGAAGCCAGACACGCAGAATACATATTGTAGGATTTTATTTGTAAATGTCCATAAACAGGCAAAGCCAATTTCTGTGAAGAAATTCAGAACAGTGTGCCTTTGGGCACCAGGTAATGGGGGTGAAGCAGAGGCAGAGATGTCCAATGATATCTTGAGCTGGGTATGATGACACAGTGTACTTTCTTTAAAATAATTCTCCAAGTTGTAAACTTATGATGTATGCCATTTTCTGAATGTAGATGCATTTTGTTCAATGTGGCTTGAGTTTCCTTGCTCAGCAGATAGTGCCCTGAAATAGACTTGCTATATCTAGAAGGATGAAAAGTCAGACTCCATACCTGCCAAGCTTCTTAAAGCACTGTGGCTTCTGGTTGCCCTTGCTGGTTATCCAGATGGCTGAGCACAGCCAGGTCATAGCCTCAGAGTCACAGAAATGCCCCCTCCCTGGAGCCCTCCGAAAGGTACTCCTTTCTATTTTTAACACATTACACCATGAGAAGCAGCCTTCTCCAAGAAGAACATCTTCAAGGGCCCCCACCCCCTCTCTGACTTCACATTACCCTTTGCAGGAGGAGACAGGCTGAGGTTATTGGTGTAAGGATAGCAAGAATACCTTCGTACAGACCACTGGGAATCCAGGCAGTGATCTAGAATCCTGTGGTGGTGATCATGGAGACAGACACACCCGTGGGCCTCTCATCCTTTCCTTGCCAATGCCTCTCTTCTGCTCAGATGGTTTTACCTCCACCTCCTCTCATGTCAAGTTGCTCTTGTAGCAGCAGAGCAGAGGGTGGAAACTTGGGAGGATCCTTAGAGAGAAGGCACAAAAGGAAGATAGGTGGGAGCCACTGATGCCGTAAAATAATGCTCCCTCTTCCAGTTTCCATGGGAAAAACAAATGGAGACTGAGGTAAATGCAAACCTCTTGTACCCTTGATTCTGCTCTAGCTTTGGTTAGAGACAAGGGACACAGTTCCTCTAAGACCAGATTATGAAATTCCCTTTATGCTTAAGAGCAGCCATCTAGCTGTCATCTGACCCTTAGGAAAAAGAATGTTTTTCATATCCTTTCTGGCATTTTCTGCCCTGGGCTAAAGCCACAAGAGTTATTTATAGAGCAGTGGTTAAAACCAGGCAACCCAGATCAATCATAAAATTCTGCGCTCACACATAGGTAACTCTATTGTCAAGACTCAAAAGAGCACTTTGCTGTTATAGAAGTGGATTCAAGGTCAAGCAGGTAAGTGAAATGGGGGTCAAGATGGAGTCCAAGCCGGGGGTTTATGCTCAAGGAATAAATGGAATAACAGGACTCAGATAGAGACAGAATAACTAGATGTGAGGATCACTGCTTCTCTCAAACACACTGATGTTTGCTCTAGACTTTTCCAATTCATGCTCTGACATAGTAACCCCATTCCTGACTGCCTTCTCACTAGAAACTCAACTCTTCATCTGACTTCAGCCTCGTTTTCCTAACCCTCTCCCTTCTCTCCAACCACCCAATACCCTCAGTACTGAAGGGAAAATGAGTAGTAAAGGTCTCGACTTTCATATTTCATGAAATGTCAGATGTGTATTAAAAGATGCACCATCATTTCACATGCTACTCTAAAATGCATCCTCTCTACTGTAAAACCTCACCCACTGTACAATGCAACCAGATTCAGTGATACAACAATTTAACCAATAGAAGGTGCTTCTTAAAATCTATTTTACAGCTGTTACTTGGGCAGAAGTCAAGGAATGCAATATTATAAGCCATTTAGTTCCAGGAGATTGTGTATGTGAATTTAAAAGCCCTCAATACCAATCTATAAAAGCTCTGAGAAGTTTCAGTGGTTAGGTTTCATTTCCAACATCATTGTACACTTTAGGTTTTAGACTGGGGAGTATCTTGGAGAATTATAAAGATCTGCTAAAATATCAGCATAAGCAATTTTGAAAGGATGACAAGTATTTAGCATGATGAACTTAGTGTGTTTAATGTGTATTTACACTTAAAGTACCTTAGAGACTATGGGGTGAGGAGGACTAATTTTACAATCAAAAACAAAACTCCTCAATGCCTCAATACCTTCGCCATACTCGAACCAATAAATATTTTTACCTTTGTGTATTTGAAACAGATTTTTGAATTTTCTGGAGCTGATCCTAAACAATTGGAAGCAAAGATTCAAGAACTAATGTAACCTATTCTCCAAAAAAAAAAACAAATACAGTTGGGACATTTTCAGAGGCAACAGCAAATGTGTTTGTGTTTTTATTTGCAGCAAATATTGTAATGTGCTATCAACCCGTGTCCTAAGGCTTTACTGAGAGAACACCACATCGTAATCTCACTGCAACATTGCTTAAAATTACTGCAATATCAGAATTGTGTCATTTCCACTCTCAGGATTGCCCTTTGCAGTTGATCTGAGCACATTCCTTGAGCAATATTTTCATGACCTTTACAACAAAAGCTCAGCACAGCTAAGAAACAGCAGAGTATCAAGGTTTTCCAAAGAGTGCAACAGACGCAGTTCTTCACAGTGATCAAGGAACAGATGAATGCCTTCTCGCTCTGGTATATCCCAAATATATAAAAGCTCCTCACCAGTGGAGCCCTTGTTGGTGGTACAAAATTCCTCTACATCACATCGCTGTATATTTGAACCACTTTCACATATTTGAATCATTTTCCTTTCATTCTGCCTTTCTAAAAGTCTCCTATAAATTCTTTTTTAAATCCTACAAAAATAAAAATGAGGAAGTCCTTTTATTACGCATAATGTTTTTTAAACCTGAGGTATCTCAGACATCTGGAGCCCAGAGAAGATGGTTCTTTCCAGCCAGCCTGCATCCCCCATGAGCATGCTCTCAGATGAACAGTGAACACTGGAATCACAGGACACAGCCACCAGTGACTGAGATTTTGACAAAGCATAGGGGGAAACAGCCAAATGGCATATCTATTATTCATTCATCAAATATTTATTGAGTACTTGCTCTGTGCTAAACACTGTTACAAACTTTAAAAATAAAACTTGATTTATGAAATCCATTTCAGAGATAGTCAGCCTTCACATGAGATTAGTAATGGAAGGAAAAGCTATGGTGAATCCAAGAATCTCCCACATAATTTTATCCACTGTTTCCCGCTTTTCACTTCAGCCATCCTTCCTATTGCTACAAACGCTTGTTATTTTCCAGGCTTCTAACTGGAAAGTAGTCCCTGCCAGTAACTCCCAAGCCAGACCATTCATTCCATTATAAAAGCCTCTAGGGGCTGAGGGGAAGGGTGGGGGTGGGGCAGGGTAACGACAGAAAAGCAATTTTACTCCTACTATAATGATGCAAGTGGGAGTGGCAGGAATTCCAGAAAAACAAGATACTGGAAGAACTGAAAATATCATATCACTGTAAAAATACACTTGTAAAACAGTGACAATTTAAAACAAAGTCTCTGAGAAAAGATCATATAAGCAGCTATGTTTACATATATGAATATTATGTGCTAAGAAATACGTGAAAGCCTTCACATTTATCACCATCATGAACCTTTGCGATACTCCTGTACTTAAGGAGCATTGTTCTAGGCAATGTCTAATCTGGCTCTTAAGGAGCAATTGTGGCAGTTGCCAATTTCTGTGGTGTCAATACTTGGTAGACTTTAAGCTGCCAATGGCATCTGTGAACAGAGAGCTGGAAAGATACGGACAGTAGGCTCTCATGAAGCGCACTACTACCTACAACAGAGGAGTTCCACTCCCACCTTCTATTCCCCACCACTGCAGCCCCAAGCCCTGTACTCTGACCACCACCACCTGCTCCCTGCACGCTGGGTGTGGAACCCAGGGCCTCCTCATAAATGCCACCCAAGTGTTCTACGTCTGATCCACATCCTAGCCTGTAGGGAAAGGACTGTGATTCCTAATGGATTGATTACTGATGGTTGACTTATGATCCCCAGCTAAACTGAGTGAACGTGGTGCTGGGTAGGGGAGCACCAATCCTTTATCTAAGGATTGTTACCATCAGCTAAGAGGCAGAATTGGAAAGGGACAGTAAATTTCTAATGTTGGTTTTAGTTAAGTTCTTTGTTCTAATAAAAGGTGATGGAGATGAGTGATCGAGCCCACTGCAGTCCTAGAGACTGTGAGTCCCCTGATCCCAGATTTTTAGCTCTCTTGTTTTTCTTGTCTCTTTTACCTTTTCTTATTCATCTGCAGGCACCTCGTTCTTGGGACCTGTCACTATAACTAATAGCAACACTAGCCCAAGAGATACTATTATTTTTATCCCTATTTTCTTACACAGGAAAAAATAAACACCAATGAAGTTAAAAGACTTGCTCAAATTTTCCCACAAGAATCTGTATCAGACCCCATGCTGTGTGATACCAAAGTTGACACCAAGATTTAAGAAAAGTAGTATAGTTGAACATGTCTATAATAATGCCACGTTTATCTCAAATTCTACCAGTCACACTCTGCTTAACAAAATTAAGGGTGAAAGAATTTCAGAACTTCTTGTCTCAGTTTAATACAAGGCATGTAGAGGGCTGGGGATGTAGCTCCACGGCAGAGAGCTCGCTTAGCATGTGCAGGACCTGGGGCTTGACCCCCAGTATGGCAAACAAAAGAAAAGACAAGAAGGAAGAAATGAACAAACAAAAGGAGTAGGAAAATGAGGCTGAACTGTATGAAAATCGCAGTTCTTGAAATTGGACTTGGGTTTAGAGATTACGAGAGCATTTTGGTTCCCCACTATTTTTTCTCCTTTTCTTTTCCTTTATAACTACATATCATAAGTATCTTCGGTGATGCTTCACATCTTTCCACCCAGATCCTTGGCCTGGAAGTGATTAGGAAGGGAAGAGACTGTACTACTTCTGAGACATTTGACTGTTTGTGTCAAGCCTGGCACTTCTTCCCTACAAGCCTGCCCTTGCCACAGAAGCGAGGGTAGAAGGTTCTACGGGCCACAGTATTCTGTAAAATCTGCAGGCCCCGATGTGCATACATTAAACGGGACAGAGAAGAGGTTTTCCCACTCCACCAAAGCAAGAAGCCAGCGGGGCCTGAGCCTGTCTCTCTCCACCCCATGCTCCACACCCATGACTCTGCCAAGTGCAGGAGACAGGCGAGGATCAGACAGGTGAAGATTCCAGTCCTGGACGGAAGCCTGGAGCTAGCTCACCCAGGAGTCAGGGCAAACCGCGACCTTGTTGAAAGGCAAAAGATGTGACCAGGAAATGGTGCACCAGAAGGAGGCATGGACCTAGATCAGCACGCAGTGGTATAGGTGAGTACGTCTGGGACTTCGGCTAAGATGCCACGTGTCCCAGGGCACAGGCTATGGAAAGGAGGATGACTCAGGAATTATCACAGAGCTGGTGACAATAGAAAGGTCAGTTTATAGACACGAAGGTTTAATGTTGTGAGGATGCAGTGCTGTTCCTTTTGTGTTGCTGTAACCACAGCAGTTTACGAAGAAAAGACTCTCACTGGTCTTAGGGGCTGAGGAGTCCAAGATTGAGGCACTGGCATTGGCCAGAACCTCTGTGCCACTCACACTGCAAGGAAGGCAGAAGGGTGAGAGAACACGTGTGCTGAAGAGGAAAGAGAAATCCATGCTCACACAGGATGGACAGAAAAGGTATATCTTCCTGTCAATTCTGGTTTGAAAGTTCAAAAGCCATTGCAACAAAGTCCTAATCTTTGTCAGGAATGGCCTAGTACAAGGACTCTCGGGACTGGGGATTTAGCTCAGCAGCACAGCACCTGCCTGGCAAGCGCAAGGTCGTGAGTTCAATTCCTGATACCGGAAAAAAAACAACAACAAAAAAGGACTCTCAAAGCGAGGATCTGGGGTCAGGAGCATCAGCTAGCCCCAGAACTTGTTAGAATGTACATTTCAGGTGCTCCCTCTGGACTCTCTGAGTCAGAAACCATGTGATACGGATGTGGACACCCATGGGAAATTCAGGTGATTCTGATATGCATTCATGCTTGAGCTCCACAGGTAAAGTACATAGGAGGATTGATCAGAGAAGCCAATGAGGCAGTTAGAACAAAAGATTAAAGACAAAGGAATTTGCAACCCTCCTGGTACACAAGAATCCCAAGCAAACAAACAAAAAAACAGCCACAAATATCTAATCAAAGTCTAGTAATTAACCCAAGGCATGTCACGTACCTATAATCCCAGTACTATGGGAGTCTGAGGCAGAAGGAGCGTGAGTTCTAGGCCAGC